TCTATTTGTCCTATTTGTTCTATATTTTCTCTCCCTTTTTGCTTTATTATTCCACTTTCGCCCTGTATTAGCTTTGTAGTTATATGATTTATTTTGCTTTTTGCTGTTCTTTTAGTGGTTACCCTATAGATGACACAGCAGTCTAATATTATAATCTTTCTGATAATTGTAAGGACCTTAGAATTCCTGGACCAAATGTATATATTATTGTCACATTTTAACATTATTTATTTTAACCTTGAAGACTATTTTATATAGTTAATATTCCTTAAACTGTATATTATTTTTTAAAATTACTGTTCATTCCTACCTTTATCTGTAACCCTTTTCTGGGATCATTTTCCTTCTGTCTGAAGAATCCCCTTTACTATTACCTTTAATGACAATTTGCTATTAAATTTGTTGTGTTTGAACGTGTCTTTGCCTTCATTCTTCAAGAATTGTTTTTGGGGAAAGGCTGGGTATTGAATTCTAAAATTGTAGATATTTTCTTTCAGTAACTTGAAAATATCATTCCATTGATTTCTGGTTCCAATATTTTCTGTTGAGAAGTTAGCTGTCAGTTTAATAAAACTGTGGCTCCTTTAAAAGTAATGTCTTTTATCACTGTCTGGCTCCTTTAATGATTTTCTTTTTGTGTTTTTTCTTAGGATGCGCTAAGGTGTAATTTTGTTTTTATTTATCATGCTTTGATCTTGCAAGTCTTCATGTCTTTTAAAAATTTGGAGAATTCTCAGTCATTATCTCCTCACAGGTTGCTTCTGTCATATTCTCTCTTCTCCTTCTGGAAATCCAGTTATGTGTATGTTAGATCTCCTCATGTTAACTCTATGTCTCTTATTCTCTCTACTGTATCTTCCATTCTTTTGTGTCTTAGTTTTTCATATCTGGTATTTACTTCTGACATAACTTTTAGTTCACGAATTCTTACTTCACTGTATCCAGTTTCTATCAAATCTATTCACTGAATCCTTTTATTTATTTATTTTGAGTCTTGCTCTGTCACCCAGGCTGGAGTGCAGTGGCATGATCTTGGCTCACTGCAACCTCCACCTCCTGGGTTCAAGTGATTCTCCTGCCTCAGCCTCCTGAGTAGCTGGGACTATAAGCACCTGCCACCACGCTCGGCTTTTTTTTTTTTTTTTTTTTTTTTGTATAGATGGGGTTTCACTGTGTTAGCCAGGATGGTCTTGATCTCCTGACCTCGTGATCCACCCACCTCAGCCTCCCAAAGTGCTGGGATTACAGGCGTGAGACACGCGCCCGGCCTATTCACTGAATTCTTAAACTTGATTAAAGTACTTTTAAGTTGGGGACTTGATTGATTCTTCTATATAGTTTCTGATTTTCTGCTGAAATTCTCAATCTTGTGTTTTAGATCTTTAAACACACTAAAGATAGTAATGTTAGACCCTGTGTTGTGTAGCTCATTATCTGGGTCCCCTGTGGCTCGGTCCTATCATCCGTTGCTTCTTTCGGATTTTGATCACGTTGCCTTGTTTCCTCAGATACCTTAAATAACTTTCCAATACTAAACGTGAAAAGTTATAAAAATAACTCAAAAGATCAGAGAGGATTTACATTTGCTCTGGGTAGCGGACAAAGGGTCACCTTAATCCAGTTTCGGGAAGTGAGAAGATCCTAACTGCATCTGGTTTTTCTTCACCCTTACGATTTGGATATGGTCCTTGGGGACACAACTCAATGTATGGTCAGTTAACTAGGGTTCCTTTCCCCTTCCCTACTTCCTTGGAGAGCCTTGGTCTCCAGTTTTTGTCCCTCTAACTCAGCAGCAAGGCTGTCATAAGTGTTACTTAGTGTCTCAGACTCACAACCACCTTATCCTGAATTGGCATATCTCCTACAAGAAAAGCAGCCCAAATGCTGAGCTCAGGTATCTAAGTTTCATTCTGTCTTAGATCTTAGTGATGTTATTCTTCACTGTCTTTTGGTTTTCTAATGTCTTTAAGCAGATTTTAAAATACTATTTTGCTTGGCTTTTCTAGCTCTCTGAAATAGTTGGTATGAATGCACCACTAAAAGTTGGAAGTAGAAAAGGTTTTAGGGAAAATTCAGTAAGGTTAGTGTTAGTCCAAACTGCACCAGTTTGTAAGCTCCCCACTATTTTGCAGACCTTAATCAAAGTGAAACATTTCACAGGGGTTTGGGCAGTGAGAAACATCCTGCCTAACTACCTGATCACAAGGTGGAAAAAGGCCCAACCTAAGAAATATCCCTATATCTTGCTGGGCAAAGCTCCAAGGAATACCATGATGACATCCTGCTAGAACAAGGGCCAGAACCACCTCATCATGGGAGCATCTTATCAATATCCTGCTGGGCAGCAAGCCATACTGCCCAGACCCCTCACACCCATGCCTATAAGTACGCCCAGCCTGGAAGCAGTGGTAGGCTCTGGCATTAAGCTGGTCCCCCACTTCTGTAGGTTTTATGCTGGACGTAAAGCCTGCATTTGCTGTCAAGCTATCCTCTTTCTGTGTGTGTCTTTCTTTAACCCTCGCCTTCCCTTCAAAATCTAACAGTCAGTTTTTAATATACTAAGTGAAGATATCAAGTAAGTGATATATACAGGTTCAGTGTAAGAAGAGAGGTTGGGTTAGGTACATATATTTGATCATCAACTTATTGATGCTATTTCAAGTCTTAAAGTAGATGAGATTATGGTGATTGCAGAAATACAAAGGGGGGCCTAGAACCAACTGGTGAGAAATTCTAAAATTTAGAGGTCAGGTAGAAGAGGAAAGGCAGCAAAGATGTTTGAGGAGTTGCTAGGAAGATAAGAAGAAAACAAAGATAATGTAGTATCAGGAAAGTCCAAAAGAAAACACAAAAGCTGATTCAAGGAATAGTCAAATGTGTCAATTACTACTAGCTGGTTTGACAATAAAAAGGTCGATAGTGACCTTAATAAAAACTTTTTTCTTTTTTAATTTGGGGGAGTCATGGAGATGGGATCCAGATTGGAATGGTTTGACAAGTAAATGAAAGAGAAAACTTGGCCATGAATGAAATGGAGATATGAGAATAGTTTGAGGAGGATGCAAGGTTAAGGGAAGGCATAGCTTGGCATTATTATTATTATAGTGAAAATCTCTAAACAACTGAAAATTCACATAATTTGGGGGATAGTAATCCAATAAATAATATCAATGGAATTTTATGCTGTCATTAAGAGCGATAATTACGGCCAGACACGGTGGCTCACGCCTGTAATCCCAGCACTTTGGGAGACCGAGGTGGGTGGAGAATGAGGTCAGGAGTTCGAGACCATCCTGGCCAACATGGTGAAACCCCATCTCTACTAAAAATTCAAAAATTAGCCAGCATGGTGGCGCGTGCCTTTAATCCCAGCTACTCAGGAGGCTGAGCCAGGAGAATTGCTTGAACCAGGGAGGCGGAGGTTGCAGTGAGCCGAGATCGTGCCACTGCACTCCAGCCTGGGCGACAGAGTGAGACTGTCTCGAAAAAAAAAAAAGGTGATAATTACAAAGTACTTTTAATGACATGAGAAAATATTTCTACATGACAAAGATATAAAGGTATACAGCTAATAAATCTCAATCATGTAAATTAAACCATAAGTCTGAGATGTGAACTCAAGAGTAATATAAAATCTTATCTTAGTAACTGTACTATATTACCTCCAAAAAAAAGATAAACATAAAAATCTCTTGAATTCATTAACTGAAAATTGGTCCAAAAAGTTATCCTTTAACATTGTTAGAGTGAACTGGTCCACATACTAAATAAATGGAATATTAATAGCAGCTTAACTGGTACATTTCATATAATTTGAATGATTTCTAAAGATAATACATTATTATAAATTTAGGGGGCTCCTACCAATTTCATTGGAAATTAAGTAAGAAGTAGAGGAAACTGATCTCTCAACTGATGTGGATTCATTGTTAATCCCCCTTACATGTATCTGTAAAACGTTCCTAAGCAAGAAGAGAATGAAAATAAAATTCAGATCATATTATAAAAATTTTCTTCCCATCTCCTCTTTAGTTCATATACCTTAAGACATTAGTAACTGGTAGTCCTGTTGAGTGAATCGTTTTTCAGAAGCAGTAAATTCATTTGAAAGAAATATATAATGAGTCAGATCTATGCTTTAGTAGTCATATGCAGATTACCCTAACATTGCTCTTCCTGTGAATATTCACATGATGAATGGGATGAACCCTGCTTCTTTCACATATATCAAAAGGATATTTGAAAAGGAAAGAAAATATTTCATTAAAAGTTTTTTAAAGTTTGTGAATTGAAGTCTATGAAAACAAACTATATAAAAACATTCAGATAATATTAGGTGTTAAAACAGCACATTTGAAAATACTATAAATTATATTAACCTTCAACAGGATCCATTATCACTACTTAGAACACTGATATGTCTATCTTAAGTATGTAAAAATTACATAGCTGTTAACTTTATATGGCAATTCACCTATTACACATTTAAGAAAGCATTACAAAATTCATTATATAATAATTACACAAATGTTTTCTCATATTTACCAAAGTCTACTAAAGTCCAGAGGGCACAAGTATTGGCCAAATAGTTCTAACTTTTACATTAGACAAAAAGATGTTTTTGTTGTTTTTTAAAACCATTAAGATGGCTAAGAGAACCAATTTTATGGAGCTTAGCTGTTCTCAGGCATCTGAATGAGGGTGGGGAGAAGTCCTGAAGTTACAAGAATCAGTTACTTTTTTAAGATGAAAAAATAAAAACATTGCATTTGATGACATTACAGTCAAAATGAGCTCTTTTTTTTTTTTATTTTTTTAAAATGAGCTCTAATACAAATGTATATGGAGAGGTTTTGAAGAATAAATCGGATACCCCAGGGGAGGATCTGCTGCTTGTACCGTAAGATTTCTTAAAAGTAGTGGATGAGCTTGTATACTATAACGTTCTTCATCATCGTTTGTGGCATAAAGTAATTCCCACGAAAGATTGGCCCACTGACCTCTAACAGCTTCAGCATTCAACTTTCCCACTTGGATCAATAATTCTTGAAGGCTAAGTACTCTTCCAGTGTAAATTCCCTTTACAGTAAAAATGGTAGGAGGAGAAAAAGAAAAGAGATTACATTTAGGTCTTCATATTTTATTTATAAACTTAAAGAAAAATTGCATTGTAATTAAGCAAACTTTTCCCAAGTTCAAAAAACAGAAAGTTTTAAAAATGTACACAATGAGTTGCTTGTATTCAGAATCAAGAATTACCTCTACTTCCTTTGTTCTTTAATAAAAGAAAGTTTTCTGGCAGCCATCTCAATCACCATTAGGCAAAATCTTAGTCACTTCTCTCTGTCTTCCTTCTCTGATCTGTTGCCTCAGCGACGCATAGTCATAAATACTATTTGGTGGTGAATGATACAATAGGCTCTTTTTAAAGAAACAGCTTTGTTGAGATATAATTCACATTCCATACAATCTATTTATTTACTGTATGCAATTCAATGGTTTTTATTATAGTCGCAGATACGTGCAACCATTACCACAGTTAAGTTTTAAAATACCATAACCTCAAGAAGTATCCTTGTGCTCTTAAGTTATCACCATCCTATCTCCTCATTGACCCTTCCCTAAGTAACCACTAACATATTTTCTATCTTTATAGACTTGCCTCTTCTGTAAATTTCACTTGTATGTGGTCTTTTGCGACCGATTTCTTTCACTTAGCATATTTTCAAGGTTCATCTATGTTGTACATGTATCAGTACCTTATTCCTTTTTATGGCAGAATAATATTCCATCATATGGATATACTAAAATTTGTTTTCAGCAACTGATGTACAGTTGGTTTGTTTCCTTCCACCTTATAGCAATTAAGAATAATGTTGCTATAAAAATTCATGTACAAGGTTTCATGTGGATTTATGTTCTTATTTCTCTTAGGTATATATACTTAGGGATAGAACTGCTAGGTTGTATGTTAACTCTATGCTTAACTATTTGAGAAACTGCCAGAATGTTTTCCAAAGTGGCTGTACCATTTTACATTCCCATGAGCAGAAGAGGGTTCCAATTTCTCCACATCTTGTTAACACTTATTTTCAGACCTTTTGATTTTAGCCATTCCGTGTGTGTGAAGTGTTATTTTATTGTAGTTTTGATTTGCACTTCCCTGATGATTAATTATACGGAGCACTTCTCATGAACTTACTGGCAACTTGTACATCCTCTTTAAAGAAATGTCTATATAGATCCTTTGTCCACATTAAAATCTATTTACCTTTTTATTATAGAGTTGTAACAGTTCTTTTATATACTCTAGTAACAGTCCCTTAACAGATAAGTGCAAATATTTTTCCCATTCTGTGAGTTGTCTACTTTTTTGATGGTGTGCTTTGAGGAACAAAAGTTTTTACTTTTGATGAAGTCATATTTATCTATTTTTCTTTTGTTTCTCATGCTTTTGGTGTCATATCTAAGAATCTATTGCCAAGTTTTTTTTGTTTTTTTTTTTTGAGGCGGAGTCTCGCTCTGTCGCCCAGGCTGGAGTGCAGTGGCGCGATCTCGGCTCACTGCAAGCTCCGCCTCCCGGGTTCCCGCCATTCTCCTGCCTCAGCCTCCCAAGTAGCTGGGACTACAGGCGCCGCCACCACGCCCGGCTAATTTTTGTATTTTTAGTAGAGACGGGGTTTCATTCAGGATGGTCTCGATCTCCTGACCTCGTGATCCGCCCGTCTCGGCCTCCCAAAGTGCTGGGATTACAGGCTTGAGCCACCGCGCCCGGCCTGCCAAGTTTAAGGTCATGAAGATTTACCCTTATGTTTCCTTCTAACATTTTTATGGCTCTTATGTTTAGGTCTTTGATGTATTTTGGAGTTATTTTAAAAATATGGTATATAAAGTAAGGTCTGTAGTGGGTTGAATAGCATCTCTTTGAAGTTACCTGTGAATGTGACCTTATTTGGAATGGGTACTTTGCAGATGTAATTAAAAATTTAGAGATGAGATCATCCTGGATTTAGGTGGGTCTTAAAGCCAGTGACTGACATCCTTATAAAAAAAAGTAGTAGGAGAATTAACAGAAGAGTATAGAGAATAAGGCCACGTAAATATGGAGATAGAGACTAGAGTTACTCAGCCATAGCCAAGGAATGTTAAGGGCCACCAGAAGCTGGAAGAGGCCAGGAAAGATTCTTTCCTAGAGCTGTTAGAGGAAGCGTGGCTCTACTGGCACTTTGACTTCAGCCTTCTAACCTTTAAAACTATGATGACAGAATACATTTCCATTTTTTAAAAAGTCACCCAGTTTGTGGTAATTGCTACAACAGCCCTGGGAAACTAATACTAGTAATCCAACATTATTCTTTTGAATGTTGCTACCAAAAGATGATTTCCCCAGTGAATGGTCTTGGCATCCTTGTTGAAAATTAGTTGGCTAAAGACCCATGGATTTATTTCTGGATCCTCAATTCAATTCCACTGATTTATATGTCTATCATTATGCCCGTACCATACTGTTTTGATTATTGTTTCATATACGTTTTGAAACTTGGAAGTATGAGTCGGCCAATTTTCAAGATTGTTCTGGCTATTCAGGGTCTCTTGAAATTCCATATTTTAGAAAATCAGCTTGTTCAATTTCCACAAAGAAGCCAACTGGAATTCTGAAAAGGACTGTGCTAATCTGTAGATAAATTTGGAGAGTATTGCCATCTTAACAATGTTATCTTGATTTATGAACACTAGATGTTTATTTATTTAGATATTTAACTTTCTCTTTTAACAATGTTTTGTAGTTTTCAGAGTATAAGCTCTGTACTACTACTGTTCCATTTTCCCTAAGTATTTTATTATTTTTTATGTTATTTTAAGTGGGATTTCCTTAACTTCATTTTTGGTTTGTTCGTTGCTAGTGTATAGAAATTCACCAGATTTTTTTATGTTGATCTTATATCTTGCAACCATCCTGAATTTGTTAATCAGTTCTAAGCTTTTTAGTTGATTCCTTAGATATTCTATACATCATCAAGATCATGTCATCTGTGAATAATTTTACTTCTTCCTAATCTGAATGCCTTTTATTTCTTTTTCTTGCCTAATTACTCTGGTGTCTTAGCTTAGGCTGCTATAACTAAATACCATAGACTAGGTGACTTAAAGAAGAGACATTTATTTCTCATGGTTCTGGAGGCTGGGAAGTCCAAGATCGGGGTGGTTTCATGTCTGGGTTCTGATGAGGGCTATCCTCCTGGCTCATGGATAGCCATCTTCTTATTCTGCTCTACAGCAAAAAGACAGGGAGCTCTGGGTGTCTCTTCCTCTTCCTATAAGGGTACTAATCCCATCACAGGGCTCCATGCTCATGATCTCATCTAACCATAATTACCTCCCAAAGGCCCCACCTCCTACTACCATCACATTGGTGGTTAGGCTTCAACATGTACATTTGGGGTGTAAACATTCAGTCCATACCACCTGGCTAGAAGTTCTAGTACAATGGTTAATAAAAGTGGTAAGAGTAGACATTCTTGTCTTCTTGATCTTAGGGGTAAGCATCCAATCTTTCACCAATAATTATGATGTTCACTGTGAGTTTTTCATAGATGTTCAAGTTGAAGAAGTTCCCTTCTTTCCTAGTTTGTTTTTACTATGAAAGGGTGAGGGATTTTGTTAGTTTTTTTATATCTACTGAGATGATCATATGGTTTGTGTCTTTTATTTATATATTTTATATATTACATATTTATATTAATAAAATATTATATAGTTTATATATCATAGTGCTTCCTGTGCTCAAGCAATCTTCCCACCTCAGCCTCCAGAGTAGCTGGGACTACAGGAACACACCACCATGTATGGATAATTTTGTTTATTTTTTTTTTAGAGACAAGGTCTCACTGTGTTGCCCAGGCTGGTCTTGAACTCCTGGACTTAAGTGATTCACCTGTCTTGGCCTCCGAAAGTGCTGAGATTACAAGCATTTTCTTAAATCCAGTCTGATAATCTCTGCCTTTCATCTGGATTATTTAATCAATTCCCATTAATTTTATTACTGAAATAGCTGAATTTTGTCTGTCATTTTCCTTTCTGTTTTGTCTCATATCTTTTTTTTCCTTTTTTTTTGAGATAGAGTCTCGCTCCGTCGCCTAGGCTGGAGTGCAGTGGCGCGATCTCGGCTCACTGCAAGCTCCGCCTCCCGGGTTTACGCCATTCTCCTGCCTCAGCCTCCCGTCTCATATCTTTTTTACCCCTCTATTCTTTCTTGACTTTCTCTTGTCAAGAAAGTGACTATTTTGTAATATGCCATTTAAATTTCTTTAATGACGGTTTTCACTTTTTTCCTCAGTTATTTCCTCAGTGGTTGACTAAAGCTTACTATCTCTGTGTTACAAGAGTCAGTCTTAGATTTATACTAATTGTGGTGAAGCAGAAATAATACTCTTACAAAGTTCTAGTCCCTTTTCTTCCCTTCTGTGGTACTGCTATACATTACAAATGTTAGAAATCCAACAGTACATTGTTTTAATTATCACTTTATATAATTTTATGCCTTTAAAAGAAGGTAAGAGAAAAGGGAGCAAGTATGCATTTATTGTGTTATATTAATTATTTTTATTTTTTTAGAGACAGGGTCTTGCTCCATCACCTAGGATAGAGTGCAGTGGTGCAATCATAACTCACTATAACCTGAACACCTGGCTCAAGTAATCCTCCCACCTCAGCCTCTCGAGTGGTAGCTAGGACTACAAATGCACACCACCATACCTGGCTAATTTTTATTTTTTGTAGAGATAGGATTTGCTATGTTGGCCAGGCTGGTCTCAAACTCCTGGTCTCAAAGCAATCCTCCTGCCTTGGCCTCCCAACTTGCTGGGATTATAGTCCTAAATTACCATGCCCAGCATTGTTATGTTACCTTTTTTTTTTTTTTTTTTTTTTTTTGAGATGGAGTCTGGCGCTGTGGCCCAGGCTGGAGTGCAGTGGCCGGATCTCAGCTCACTGCAAGCTCTACCTCCCGGGTTTGCGCCATTCTCCTGCCTCAGCCTCCCGAGTAGCTGGGACTACAGGCGCCCGCCACCTCGCCTGGCTATTTTTTTGTATTTTTTAGTAGAGACAGGGTTTCACTGTGTTAGCCAGGATGGTCTTGATCTCCTGACCTCGTGATCCACCCGTCTTGGCCTCCCAAAGTGCTGGGATTACAGGCTTGAGCCACATGGAGTGTAACTCTGTTGCCCAGGCTGGAGTGCAGTGGTGCGATCTCGGCTCACTGCAACCTCCGCCTCCTGGGTTCAAGTGATTCTCCTGCTTCAGCCTCCCAAGTAGCTGGGATTACAGGTGCCCAAGTAGCTGGGATTACAGGCACCCACCACCACACCCAGCTAATTTTTTTGTAGTTTTAGTAGAGACAGGGTTTCACCATGTTGGCCAGGCTGGTCTCGAACTCCTGACCTCAGATGATCCGCCTGCTTCGGCCTCCCAAAATGCTGGGATTACAGGCATGAACCACTGCACCCAGCCTTATGTTACCCTTTAAAAAAATGCTATTTCTCTATCTTCCTGTAGATTCAAGAATCCAGAAATGAATCATCTGGATTCACTTCCTTTATCCAGTACAGCTTTGCCCCTACTGGCTTCCTCTGTGCAACTATTAGCAAATTACATTCCTATATATTACAGGCCCAATAATACATGAATACATTTTATAGAATTGCTTTTCAAATCAGTTAAGAGAAGAAATATGCCTTTTTTCCTCTTTTTTATCATTACACAGTTACTTTTATTGGTGCTCTTTGTTTTTGTGTGTGAATCTGAATTATTGTCTGTGGTCACTTACTTTCAGTCTGAAGAACTCTAGTGTTTCTTGTAAGGTGGGTCTGGTAGCAACAAATTCTGTTTTTGTTTATCTGGAATTTCTTTATTTTGCTTTCATTTTTGAAAGATCCCTTTGTCAGATACAGGGTCCTTGGTTAAGCTTTCTGTTTTGGGGTTAAGGGGGCACTTTGACTATGTCATTCCATGCTTCTGGCCTCCATTGTTTCTGATGACAAATCAGTTGTTAATTTTATATGACTTTCCTTAAAATGTACAAGTAGTTTTTACTTGGTGCTTTCAAGGTTTTCTCCTGGTCTTTGGATTTCCACATTTTTACCATGATGTTATTTGCCTGCGGATCTCTTTGCATTTATTATAAAGTTCACTGAAGTTCCTGGATGTGTAGATTAATGTTTTACAATAAATTTAAGAAGTTTCAGCCATTACTTCACCAAATAATTTTTTTATCCCTTCTCTCTCCTTCTGGTATTAAGTATATGTTGGAGCAGTTAATGGTGTCCTACATTTCTCTGAAGCTCTCTTTCTTTTTATTCATTCTTTTCTCTTCTTTGGATTGCATAATCTCTATTGATCTAGAATCTTCAAGTTCACTAATTATTTCTTCTGCCAGTTCAAATCTATTGTTGAGCTCCTCTAGTGAATTTTTCATTTGGTTCTTTTTTATAATTTCTATCTCTACATACATTCTCTATTTGATGTGAGACTGTCACCATACTGTCCTTTATATCTTCAACCATGGTTTCCTTTGGTTCTCTGGATATATTTATAATGACTACTATGAAATCTTTATTAAATCTGACATCTCTTCCCTCTTACAGGCAAGCCCGGTTGTCTACTTTTTCCCCCCTGGTATATGGGTTAGATTTTCCCATTTCTTTGCATATCTCAACTTTTTGTTGAAAATCAGATATTGCAGGTAACACTGTAGAAATTCTGGGTGCTGGTCCTCTTCATTCCTAACTCCAGGGCTTGTTATTATGACGTACTTGTTTAGTGATTGGCTGGCTTACTGTAGTGAAGTCAATCCCTGTCTGCTCCCTACCATCCCCCGCCCAGTTTGAAGTCTCAGATACGGCCTCTCATAGAGTACAGTCAAACTGAATGCATACAATTACCTTGGGATGGTTTTGGCAGGGTTATCTTGTCTGTTAAGTGTTCATACCCAGCTATTAAGCTCCACTGATTGCCAGCTGGTTACTCTGCTTTCAACAAAGACCTGAGGCATACATTGCTCCACAGACTGATCCAATTAAATGTGAACTCCTTCAAAGGAATAGCTTTTCATGTGTTTGATCCCAGGAAGGCTCTTTGCTGTTTCTTCCCCTGAAAAAAATCTAGCCAGTTTACCGTTTAGCTTAATGAACCTACCAGTCTCCTAGAAATTAGTTCTCACCACAACCTCCATCGTTTATGTTGTTTTTTTTTGACACTATCATAAAACAGGAAGTCCTCCACTGTTTTTAAGAACATTTTGGGCTTCAATGTGTCTACACTCTGTTGCAGATAAATCAGTTCCTCTGGGAAGAAGAGATTCAGAGCTTTCGTTGCTGTTAGTAATAATTTGCTTCTTCCACTGGGCAAAGTCTCTGAGCCAGAGTTCTGGGTGATAGCATGCTTCTCTCTTGAGTGACCCTTCTGCTTTAGGAGATAAGCACTTGGTGGAGGGAAGGAGTAGCCTCAGGTCTTTCCAGCTTGCCTCTCCCAGCATAGGATCTCCACATTATGAGTGGGCAAGAGTGAGCAAGGCCCCAGTATTTTCAGTGGCACCACACCCAAGATAAAGTCTCCATCCCATAAGTGCAGTGGGCCAGAAGGGAATCTTTGCTTGGACTTCACATGCCTGGAATGTAGCCTCAGCAACAGGTAGCTGGGACAGGATTAAAAATGTTGAACTCCTGCCCTTCCTAGGAAAACAGTCCTCCAACTGGGAGTTGACAGAGAAGAGAGCCTATGTTCTGGGTTGTACCAGTCTGAGGGGAGGTTCCATCTTGCTGAGGTTCAGGTAGGGTAGGTTTTGGTTCAAATACTGCAGTCTCTTACTATTCTCACTGGGTTTTAGCAGATTTTTAAAAATAAATTTATGTTCATTTGCTGTATGCCCTTAGGAGACTTTCTAAGACTTTAAGTGGTTATTTTAAAAAAATATAATTTTCATCAGTTTCACTGGGGAGTGCATTTGCAGAGCTCCTCAAACCATAATGCCAGACAGACAAAACCATGATAAGCTCATAACATTGAATCTTTCATATTGTGTAGACTTGATGACATTTTAAATGTGATAAGAAAAAGTACTAAATCTTAAAGAGTCATCCCCTATTTTAAGTCTCTGGATTTTCACAGGTTAGGTTTGCTTCAATACAGTATAAATGTCAGCAAAATACTTTGCCACTTACAAATAACTTTTTCTAGGAGTCAAATCCAAGTGATAATTCATACATTGAACATAGGAATACAATCCATTTAGTCAAATATGTTATAGCATACTACACATACTTGGCTCTCTTATAGGTCAGGTATTGCACTATGGCTACACATTTTTAATTGGCTCCTCTTCAGTTGGCAAAGGAGAGAAATCAGCTAGAGTTCGTCTAGCTTCGCCATAAAGTCATGATTATAAATGCCTTAAAACTGTATCACAACTATAATGTTATATCATTTATCACTTAGTTCAAATACTTTATAACTGACATCCATTCTCTAAGGTTAGTATATATATGCTTAAAAATTTTTTAAACTTACCATATTAGAATCATACCCCAGAGAAAACAAGTATGGCTTTTCTTGTAAAACTGCTTCCTTCCACTTTTCATCAGATACCAAACCAATGTACCAGTCACATTCATATTCTTCAAGGTACTTAATCAGTTCTCTGAAGTCTTCTATTGGACCTAAACTTGCTTTATCAATCATTAGTTTCAGAGTATACCTAAAAAATGGAGAACCGAAGAATTTTAGAATATTTGTTGTCAACTTTATGGATCAAATAGATTTTGTTAAATCAATATTTTAAGACATTGAACTGAAATCGTATCTATCTCAGCTAAAAAGTGGAGGGAGAAATGATGCAGTTAAGGTGAGGAAATCAGTAAGCCATAAAAAAAAAAAAGATTTTCCATATTAACAAAACCAAAGGAAGCACAAAGTAAAGCGTACTCTTGATATAATCACACTACACATGAAACTTTTTTTCATTTTGAAGAAAGTAAATTTTAAAAAACTAGAAACAACTGTCTTCTTGTACGTGATTTAGAAAAATCAATATTTTTCCGCCAATGTTATATCTTACATATGATCTAAATGGATTACCTGAATGCTTTCAGTGCTAGTTGAAACAGCTCTGGCTTTTCTGTGAGCCAGTCCAAAGCAACAGACCAAGGCAAAACACCACTGTAAACCCTCAATATATGACCAGGACTAGGAGCCATATTGTCTATTCCAAAAAAACTAAAATAACAAGTCATTACTGTATGAACATAAAAGTCTTTTAAAACTTTGTCGTTGGCAATTTCTTCCAATACATTTGAGGCCTTTTCTTCTGAATGAAAACATTCCAATTGCCTTAAAACAAATTGGTACCAGTCTTCTGGAAATAACGAGCTCAACTCCTTCATTTTGGAATTGGGCATACAGCTAGTCCTCCACTCTGCAGGTAAGCACACTAAGTGAGAATGTGAACAACTGAATTCCATGAGAGGAATATATGGCATGTCCTCTTGTTTTCCTTTGTCAACAGCAGGGTATCCTAATAGAACTGCTTTGTAAAGATCGTTTTCAGGAACAGTGCCTGTAGAATGATCACCAACCCTCTGTGATTCTACTGATCCTGGAATAAATGAGTTTGTACCTGGCAAATCTTTCAACTGTTTTTCTTCTATTACTTTTTTGATAGTTGGCTCATCATCAAAAATATTGTCATCAGACCAGTCATCAAAAGTTTCTGAATTTAAACTATCTATGTCTTCTGGGGATTTGGGAGGTGGCGAAGTGTTCGAAGCAGGCAAGATTAGAGGTGCTTTCCCTTTATTTTCAGTGTTGTGAACATTCTCTTTCATGCCAGGCCTTTTGGAGCAGTATTGAACAAGTATCCACACGAGTACTTTAACGAGGTCACCTTTAAATTCTTTTAAGTTTTCATGAGAATCAATTATGCCTGATAGAACACTCCTGGCATCAGAATACAATTTCACAGGCAAAACAGTACAGGGTGTCAAGACATTTCCAAAGTGTTCATTAAGGGAACATACTCCTGTGTATTCTTGCTCAAAAGCATCTTCAAAAACTTCATCAACTCTGCGAGCTTCTGCAGTATGACAGGATGTTTCCTGCAATTCTAACCCCTAAAGAAGAAATAAAAAATACTTCAGTTTATAATCATTTATTACATAGAATACAGCAACTAGTCTTGAAAATGCCCATAGATTCTCATCACAAAAATATGGAAAGTGACAAAAACAATTTCTTTAACTCAAGAGCAACATCCTGACTTAAAGTTAACGGCACTTAACACATTTGATTCTGGATAGGATTAAAAATAATGCTACTATTTTTTTGAAAATATTATGGAAATTCTACTAGAAATTGGGCAAATTTATTAGGTATGAATATAATTTTAAAAGACTATATCCATAGTTAAGAGTGAGCCACACAGTAAAAACTTTCTAATTATAATCCTAGAGGAGAAAAAAGCAAAATTAGAATTCTACAGTATATACAGTATATACAGTAGTATTATATCCTTTCCATCCCACTTTATGAGACTAACAGCATTATTCAATGTATGGATGTGCCAGAATTTATCATTCTCCTGTTCCAGATTTCTAACATCATAATGCAGATTTACTTCTTTGATTACTTTGGTTACTGCTATGTCAGTAGTGCCTAAACCAGTATCTGGTACACAGTGGGTATGCAACAAATATATGCTGAGTGAATGAATATTATCAATATATCCTTACATAAATTTTAAACACATTTTGATTACCTCCTTAGAAGGAATCACTTGAAAAGGATGTATCAGGTCACTGTTTACTATTATAATTGCTATTGCTAATTTATATATTTTTACAAAGCTGTCAGTGCCTTCAGAACTTGTTTTTAAGTCACATCTCTACCAGGTGGCTGGCACACAACTTGAGCAGGTCACCTACCCTCTGTGAGATTCCTTTTTCCTCTGTTTCAAAGGAAAATAATCCTAGTGCATATGGTTGTGACGGTTGCATGCTTTGTAAATTTTAAAGTATTAATTGTTAATAGATGGCATGGCCTAACCCAGCTTGCATCAAAAAAACACAGAAAAAAAGAGTACCATCAAAAAGTATATTTTTAAACCACATATGTCACAGAGCACAAAGGATCAATCAACATTATTAGGTATTATTAAACCATATCATTTTTAAATAGATTAAAAATAAGTAATCAAAATGTCCTCAATATTTTTTGTCTTCTCGTATGGGTTAGACTAGAACAGAGGTTCTCAATCTGTAGGTGAGTCAGCATCACTTGAGAGTGCTCTTTGAAATACAGATTGCTGAGCCCACTCCCAAAGTTTCTAACTTAGCAAGTTCAGGGTAGGGCTCAAGAATTTCCACTTCTAACAAGTTCTCAGGAAGTATTACTAATACTAGTCTGGGCACTGCATTTTGAGAATCACTGGACTAGAGAGACAGCTTTTTAGTCACTAGTGATTTTATCCAATCTGTGCTAGTACAAGAAATTAACTTATAATTCATTAAAAAAATTTTTTTTGTTGTTAAAGGCCTATTGTGTGCCAGGCACTGTTTTGGGGGCTTAGGATGTATTCCTGAATAAAAACAAGAGATCCCTGTGCTTGTGATACTTATAAAGTGAGGGACATGGGTAATCAACAGTAAAACTAATAAGTAAATTATATAGTTTGTGAGAAGGTGTAAGTACTATAAAAACAAGGAAAAAGTAAAGCAAGGCAAGGGGGATTGGGAGTGCTGGGATAAGAGTGGGAGTGTAATTTTAAATATGATGGCCATAGGAGAGGTCACTGAGGAGGTGACATTTGAGCAAAAACTTGAAAGTGGTGAGGGAGGGAGTTAGATGATTATCTGAAAGCAGAGTGTTTCAGGCAGAGGGAATAGCCAGTAGGCTGGAATAGAGTGAGAGGGTTAAAGTAATAGAGAAGGCCAAAGAGGGAATAGGAAGTCTGGCCATTTAGAGCCTGGCTTTTACTCTGAATGAAAGAAGAGATCCACTGCAAGGTTTTGAGTACAGAAGTGACATGGTTTGACTTAGATTTTAAAGATCATTCTGGTTGACAGTATACTGTAGGGGCACACAGGTGGAAGCAGGACAACCAATTAGGAGGTTATTTCAATTATCCAGGTAAGGGATCAAGGTGGCTGGGACCAAGGTGGTAAAAAGAGATGGGATACAGAATATGGTTTAAAGGCGGAGCCCACAGGATTTCTTGTTGGACTGGGTGTGGAAGTATACAAGTAAAAAAGCAGTCAAACACGACTCTAGTATTTTTGGCCTGAACAACCAGAAGGACAGAGTTGTCATCAAGGACTGCTAGGCTCTGGGACACACTGGTGTTAAAAGGTCAAAGAAAAGAGAAGGAACCACAAAGTAGAGAAGTAACCCACGAAACAAGTGAAGAGAAGAGAACAGCTGTGTAAAATGCTGCTGATGGTTCAAATAAGACTCGTTCTGAGAGTTGATCACTGGAGTTAGCAATGTGCCAGTCACTAGCGACCTTGACAAGAGCAGGTCGGGTGGAGTAGCAGGGTCAAAAACCTACAGTAAGTTGAAGACAGAATGGAAGAAATTAAATTGGAGATACAACTATAAGCAGCTCTAATAAGGCCATTTGCTCTTCAAGGAAGGAGAGAAATATAGTATAGCAGGTAGGGGCAGTAGGATTAGAATACAGTTTTTATTGAGAATGCTTAAATGATATAGGAGTTAAAAAACGTTACTGATTCACACTTTTGAGATGCTCAGCTAGAGAGAGGTAACAAGAATAGGACCGGAAGGAATGGAAGCAGGTATATTTTGTTATCATGCTCTATTATACAATTAACAGTCCACCCATCAACATATGCTTATTGAAATATACTTTAAAAATCCCTAGGTGTTTTCACAGGTAATTGAAAAGATATTCTTCTTTGAAACTGAGTGTTTGATGTGAACATAACAAGTAAAATTTTACACATGAACTATAAAAATACTAGAGATGTTTTAAATGCACACTGACCTTAATGTTAATACAGCAGTAAGTATAGCCACATTCCAGAATCATTATCCATATTAAACGATCCTGAAAACGGCCCAAGTAATGAGATCCAGGTAGGAGGAGACCTACAACGAATTAGAAAAAAAAGAAAATCATTTTTCAAGCTTCTTTTATTTTTGCCATGTGAATCTTCAAAACTGAAAAGACATCTAGAACTGATTCACGACTCCTACCCTATCATTAGGTCATGAACAGAAATAACTACTCACTGCGTATCAAGAGGCATTAAATTAACTCTTTACAAGAGCAGCTGGAACAGACAATCTGCAGGTGATAATACATAAAAATTCAAGGATTTTCCAGAAAAACAAATTAGAAGTTGTTGTATAAAATCTTAAATACGTGTCAATTATATTAGGAAAAGTATTGAGTTTATAAAAGTCAGCTTGACAGTCATGACTTAAAATATCTTTGACATTTTTATATACATGCATATGAACATATAAAAGTGTTTTATGGTTTAAAAAATGTACATAAAATGCTACCACACTGTATACTTTTTAAATTTAGTTTTTCTCTTTTATTAATGAAATTCGCCCACATCTATGGCAAACAGCTAAAATTTATTATAACTGCTGTCGAAAATACACTGTATCAATTTAATTGAATTTGAGTATTCATTTCCTCATTGATAAACTTTTCAGACGTTTCCAACTTTTCACTATTATAAGTAATGTTGCAGAAATTATCTTTGTGCAAGTCTGCTTGTACAACATGTGGTTCAGAACAGTGTTAACATACCAGAACCGACTGCTATTCTTCAAAAGGTCTGCTTATATGGTTGGTCCTTGCCTGGCATCTGGGAATCCCCTACCTGGTAAGAGTCTCCCATTGTGTCTACCTGTACAAACAATACAGTATATACTGAACACCTGCTCTCCTTTTGGGATTCTGGAGTATTGGTATGTGCTAGGCAGACAGTGCCTGCAGGACCAGCCTGCAATAAAAGCCCTGGGCATTGAGTCTCAAATGAGCTTCTCTGGCAGTCAACACACACTTGTTGCCAGGGAATTAAGCACATTCTGTGTGACTCTGTGCAACTCCTGGACACTTGCACCCAGTCTCTTTTACTCCTTGTGATTTTTCCCTTTGAGGATTTTGCTCTGCATCCTTTTGCTGTAATAAATCTTAGCTGTGAGTTCTAGTGAACCGTCAAACCTGGAGTAGTCTTGAGGACCCCCAAAACACATGTACTAGAATTTCCCTAGAACTGGAATCACTAAATCATGGAATCAGAAATGGAATCCCTTAGCCATGAGATATGTACATCTTTATTACAGACTACCATTTCACTCTTCAAAGTGGTTGTAAAAATTTACATTTCCTTCCAGAAAAGTCTGAAAGTTCTTATTCCCCATGCCCTAGCCAATAGTTGGTAGTGTCAAATTGTTTACATTTTTGCCACTCTGATGTATGTGAAATATTATCTCATTGCTTTTTTCCCCACCAGAAAATACTTTATAATACACTTCTTGGTTGAATATAATTAGTTTGATAATAAAGTATAATTTTTATCTAATTACTATTTCTGATGGGAGTTTAACCTCACAGGTGTTTTAAAAAGTAGAATAGCATTACATAATGAAAATTAATTAGCACTGGATAAAAGTATTATAAGTATAGACTATTTTCTATAAGAAAAATGACTATTCATAAAACATTTGTACTACAAAGATAAAATATTTTTCTTCTCATAAATCATCTCACATAATAATTAGAAAAGTTCAACCCCAAGTAAGCATTTTATTAAAACTCTAATCTTAAATTGCTACTCTGACTAGAATGAGTTTGTCAGAAAGTTATCTGTCATTTTAAAAACAAGTTTCAGGGGTTAAAGCACAAGGTAGGAGATGACACACTAGTGTCATCAATTTTATACCTTATCTAAAACCAACCTTGAGAAGTACAATACAGTTAAAATTTATAGTTAGTGTTTGACAAAAGCTCATAAAATTAGTTTACTGTCATCAAAAACCTATTTTCTTGCTAATAACTGCATAGCATTTCACTTTGGGAGGCTACCTTACCTACTGATCACTGACCAAAGTTTTTGTTATCCTGTCCAGTTATCTTGTCAGACTGCTTTAAAGTCTCTATAACTTGTAAAGTATGAATAAAATTCCCTCTGCTCCTCAAGCGGATATTATGTAAAGCTAGTTTTCACTAAACTTTATGAATGTATGCTATTGCATCTACTTGACATGAACTCATTATAAATTCATGGAAATCCTGGAGGAAAGGTGTTTCCATGTTTCAACGATGCAACTGTAATCTGAATTTATTCAAGAAAATGTATTTAAAAAATTATCAAATCACTTTAATAAAAATTTCCCCAAGTATTTTTATTTTGTAACTTAATTTAGATGAAAACAAGGAGCAGGAGATAAACTTCTAATTTCATATTTAGTCCTTCTGCCTACACACCAAATTGTTATGGTTGCTATGCTATCTTATGGTTGGATAAAACTACACATCAAATTGTTATGGTTGCTATGCTATCTTATGGTTGGATAAAACTACACACCAAATTGTTATGGTTGCTATGCTATCTTATGGTTGGATAAAAAGATTGTTTCCTGTTTGTTATTTTTTTGTACTTTAAATACATCAGTGAGAAATTCTTGAGCACAACTCATTTACTTACCTAAACTTCCAGCTGCCATTGCAGTCTGCAGCACGGCAGTCAACCTGGGCACCATTTGGTAGTAGTACACTGTATCTGCACACACACAGGCTGTGGTGCCCGCTGCTCCTGGCCAACTCTGAATAGGTCGGGGAAACCCCACCAAGAACACAGGAAGGGTGAAAAGGGGGAGTAAGGGAGAAGAGAGTAGTGTAGAAAAAACTATGATGACCAACACGAATGGAGAAAAGATAATGTTGAGTATACATAAAGTGGCAGTTGTTTTTCGACGTTGTTTTTTCTCTGTCCATGATGTCAAAAGTACAGTCACGGCAAACTGCAATTTAGAGATGAACCGAATCAAACGATCACGTATGATACCAACCTGTGGAAACGTAAAAATTATTTTTATCTATCCTTAAAGATTTTTCATGAATTTTCAAGATCATATAAGAAAGACTATACAGTAATTTTATTATTGCCCCAATATTTTTGAAGAAATAGATCTTATTCTTTGATTCTTTGTTAATTTTCTCCAACCTCACAATTAATAAACAAGACTACATTTTAAAGTTTGGACTTTCTTAAAAAAAAAAAAAACAGTAACAGTAAAAACAGCTGTCAAGTATTACATGCTGTACACAACTGTATATGCTATACTTTTATATGACTATGTTTTAAGGTTGAACCACTGTAGGCCACAAATTAGATAATGCAGAAATTGACAAGTTCCTAGAAAGACACAAATTACTAAAACTGGCTCAAGAAGAAATAAAAAATCTGAATAACCTACAAAAAGTAAAGATATTGAATAATTTAAAAACTACCCACAGAGAGAAGCTGAGGCTCAGATGGCTTCAATACAAAATATTACATACCACAAAACATTTCAGATACATATTGAATACTACAGAACACTTACGAATAATCAATACCTATCCTTCACCACCTTCTACCAGAAAATAGAAGAGTATGGAACATGTCCTAACTCATTTCAGGGGATCAGTACTACCCTGACACATAAACCAGGCAATGGTATCACAAGGAAAGAAATCTAGATAAACACATCCCTCCTCCCTCCTTAGCCTCCCAAAGTGCTGGGATTAAAGGTGTGATCCACCACGTCCAGCTAGACAAGCATATGTTCTAAGAAATGTGTTTTGCAGTATCTTGAAGTATTAAACATGGAGTTCCTATATGACCAGAAATTCCAATCCTAGGTACATATACCCAAGATAAATGAAAACATATGCTCACAAATAATGAGATTCGTCATTGAGTGAATATTGTACAGCGTATATACACAAACCTAGGTGATATAGCCTACTACATACCTAGGCTATATGGTATAACCTATTGCTCATAGACTACAAACCTGTACTAAATGTTACAGTACTGAATACCGTAGGCAACTGTAACACAATGGTAAGTATTTGTGTATCTAAACATTGAAATTGTACAGTAAAAATACATTATAAAAGATAAAAAATGGTACACTTGAATAGGGCACTTACTATGAATGGGGCTTGCAGCACTAGAAGTTGCTCTAAGTTAGTGAGTGAGTGGTGAATGAATGTGAAGTCCTAGGTCATTACTATACACTACTGTAGATTTTAAAAACACTGTACTCTTAGGTTACTCTAAATTTATTTTAAAAATATTTTTGATTCTTCAATAATAAATTAACCTCAGCTTACCATAATTTTATTTTATAAACTTTTTTACTTTTTGACTCTTTTGTAATGACACTTAGCTTAAAACACATTGTACAGCTACTCAACATTTTTTCTTTATATCCCTATTCTGTAAGCTTTTTTCTATTTTAAAATTTTTAACTTTTAAAACTTTTTTGTCAAAAATGAAGATACAAAAACACCCATCAGTCTAGGCCTACAGAGGGTCAGATCATTAATATCACTGTCTTCCACCTCCACATCTTGTTCCACTGGAAAGTCTTCAGGGGCAATAACATACATAGAACTGTCATCTCCTGTGATAACAATGACTTCTTCTGGAATACCTCCTGAAGGACCTGTCTGAGGCTGTTTCACAGTCAACTTTTTTTTTTTTAATACATAGGAATATACTCTAAAATAATGATAAAAAGCACACTAAATACATAAATTGAAGTTGCTTATTGTCAAGTATTACATGCTGTACACAACTGTATATGCTATACTTTTATACGACTGGCAGCCTAGTAGGTTTGTTTAAACCAGCATCACCACAAACATGTGAGTAATGAGCTACCCTACAAGGGCTATGCCACTAGGTGATAGGAATTTTTCATCTCCATTATAATCTTATCAAACCACCGTTGTATACGTGGTCTGTCATTGACCAAAACGTCCTTATGCAGTGCATGACTGCACTGATACATGCTATAACATGAATGAACCTTGAAAACATAAAAGTGAAAGAAGCCAGATGCAAAAGATCACATGCTGCAGAATTCCATTCATGGGAAATATCTAAAATATGCAAATCCATAAAGACAGAAAGTAGATTAGTAGATTCTGGGAGTAGGCGAGATGGAGAGGGGAGACGGGAAATAACAGTTGAGGTTTCTTTTTGGGATGTTGAAAATGTTCTAAAATTAGATTGCAGCGATGACTACAAAACTGTATATACACCACTAAATGGATAAATATTACAGTATGTAAAAGATACTTCAGTAAAGCTGTTAAAAGACACATTTACCAGTAAGAGTCTGATTCCTGTATCCAGGTTTCTGTTCCACCATATGTCTGTACTGGAGATCAAATGTACTGTTGATACAATGACTATCTCCAATAAAGCATTTTCTGTATTCTGCCATACCTGCAGTATACAAATTATTCATTTTTATCAGGTAGAATTAGATAATCTAAGCAAACTATTAAACAAAATTACAATAAAACTTAGCAATAGGAAAATACTATTAAACACATATTAGGATTACCATTCTAAAGGCTCTTGTGAATCCAATAGAGACAGACACTGAGTGGAGCCCTTGTAAGGAACTGTCCAATGAGAGAAATGCTATCATGGCAAAAGGTGATACTAAAACAAAAGAAAGAGAAATTTAATTAAGGCAAAACAGCTCCTTCTACCATATTTTATTTTGGCAAATATACATTTTTTCTGAGCACATTTAAGCAATGAACTAAAAAAGCTAATAAACAAAAAACCAAAACATAAAAGAACACTTGTATGTGGTATAATACCACACAAATATGGGAATTCAGTAATATTTTTGAATACTTTCAGGATATGATTTGTAACACAAGGTTAATAGACTTTATCTTCCTACCTAAAGTTAGCAAAATCCGTCTGACAATACCAATCTTCATGAGCCTAGTTTGCTTCTCAAAGAATACAGTCACAGTTTGCACATCCTTCGGATAAAAAGGATTTCGGAAAATTCCAATGATATACACGCTTTGAATTTCTCTAAGGATCCACAGTATTATAAGTAATATCATCAAACCATAGCCCACATTATCCTGGGAACTGCTCTTAGAAATCTGTGAGAAGCCAGCAAAGTGATGAAGCAAACCAGTTTCTAAAAGAGCGAAGACTAATATAATGATGTAGAAAAGGCATTCCTTCCATGAAAAATGTTTTTCTGGACCACTGGGTAAATTCTTAGATTTGGTTCCAATTTTGTGACCCACATCACTTAAGTTCAGACTCAGCAAGAAACCAAATCCAGTCATGAAAAGAACCACACCAACAGTGCTTGGAATGAAATATGATGTTATAGCTGTTCCAGCAGACATGATGAACATTACTAATAACCTGTAGAGAAAAAAAAGAAAAAAAGATTTACTTGAAAAGAAAAATGTTCTTCAAGAATAAGTTACATATAACATCAATATTTAAAAATAAATACCGTAGGTGGGTTGACATAGATGAGCCTCCAAGGCCGAACTCTAAAATCTGTTCCATTGCCCATAAGAAAAGTGCATCGGGTGGGGGCAGAATCCCAAGTGCCCACAGAAAGGGTAAGAATACAAACAAGATGTGTAAAATCTGATTCATTTGTTCTAGAGCTGGTATATTTACCATAAACCTATAAAAAAAGAACATTTAAATCACACAAAATATATAGAAGAGGATCTTTTAAGGAAAAGCAAAGCAACACAGAATAACAACACACTCCCTTCCAAAAAAAAAAAAAAAAAAAAACCACACACACACGCTACACACATAGTCTTAGTCCCAACTTTTAAATGATCAATACATACAAATTGTGACAAGTGTCCTTCTACATCAGCAACTACCCCTACACAATTGTGTACAAGCTTAGCATTTAGAGAATATGTGAACTCAAATGTGTAAAGGAGGAGGAAGTAATTAAAAGCCATCATTGAGTAGTAAGTAAATTGAATACAGGAATTTGTAAAACTGAACAACTGAGGCCAGAGCATAAACATTTCTCCCCTAAATGTCTAAACTACTACATTGGCTGAAATTCTACCAATGATTCTTCAGAGTTTTAAAATTTTATAATTTAAAATTTCAAGTAACTTTGGAAAGTCAAAGCCTTACTCACATTCATACATTAGCAGCTAAAAAAAAAAGGGGAAAGCTCTTCTCTTCCTCTCTGTCTTGTACTGTCCTGCTCCCAGAATTTAACATTGGAATGGTTAATATCAGAAATGAGCAACTCAGGTTATGACTGTATCTCTGCAGGTTAACCTAACAACTTAACTAGCATTTACAGCACTGTTCCATTTTGCATAAGCAGTGGTATGAATTTGAAAACACAAACTTGCACATTACAATCTCCCCATAAAGGAGTGACTACCTCTACCTTAAGTGGAAAAACTCAAACTTGGCACAGCACTTAACAGTTAAATGTACCATCATCAAACTGCTTCAAATAATTTAATTTTAAAGCACAGGACTATACATGTTATCAATATATTATGAATTTTAAAAAAAATAACGCTAATCAAACACTGTGTCCAGAGACCAAAAAGGTCAGAGTACTTCTGGGGTTCCAAAGATAACTTTCAAAAGACAACAAAATCTCAAAACTTACGGCATAATTGTACTTGAATACCCGAACTACTGGGAATCCAAGTTGAGGAGAAAGACAATTTCTGGGGCCAGGCGCAGTGGCTCACACCTGTAATCCCAGCACTTTGGGAGGCCAAGGTGGGTGGATCACCTGAGGTCAGGAGTTCGAGACCAGCCTGGCCAACATGGCGAAACCCCACCTCTACTGAAAATACAAAAATTAGCTGCTGGGCGTGGTGGTGGGCGCCTGTAATCCCAGCTACTTGGGAGGCTGAGGCAGGAGAATTGCTTGAACCCAGGAGGCAGAGGTTCCAGTCAACCGAGATCACACAATTGCACTTCAGCCTGGGCAACAAGAGCAAAACTCCGTCTCAAAAAATAATAATAATAATAAAGAAAGACAATTTCTGAAATAATTATCCACTTAAGCATATGCTGACAATCCCAAAGCAAATGTACAGCAACTATGGATATAACATAGTAATGGCATTGTATGTTTGCTCACACAGATGTCAGGACTATGCCAACTAATGTGCTCTGCCTCATAATGTATGCCCTTCAAATTTTTATAAGCAGAGAATTAATGAACACAAGATTAACAATGTGATACTAAATTAGAGGACAATACTTTTTTATAAAATAAAATTCATTTCATTCTGAGTAGAAACCATTCAAGTAACAACAAAATCAAGAAAATCAAACCATACATACATAGTAAGCCACAGGAAGGTCAAGGAAAACATGGAGATTGGTACAGTCTTTTTAATTTTTCCCCAAGACAACACCCCTCTATCAAGAATAGGATAATTTGTGTAAAAAGAACGTGCGCTCATGAAACCTTTTATCAAAACTAGATTCTACCCCTAAATCTCTTTTGGTCCTTTAACAATAAGCAATGGCAAAGTAAAGTATTTATATTCAAGGATAACATAATTGAAGTAATCAAACATTGTGATTATCTTCCTGTATATAGGACTTAGCTCCAAATGGATCATTATTGTGGTTAATTCTTTAATATGGAAAAACATTTAAATTATAATATTTCTGATAATGTAATAAAAATGTTCTAGGGTAAAAAAAAATCTCAGCCCTTAAGACGACAACTTAGTTTGGAACCTAACAGCTATAAAAATGTTTCAAATTCTGCACACTCACTAAGATCCACATGTCAAGAAAAAAGATGTTTTCTACAGTGGCTAAGATGATGGACATGTGTATCATTCATTCAAACAATTCCCGAGTGTCTGAGCTAAGCATTGGAGATATAATGTTTTTGATAAAAATTAAAATGCACAGAAAAAGTCATTTAAAAGTATTATTACACAACTGTACTAGGCAAAGAATGGGGAAGGAAAAGATTACCACGTTGTGGGGTTCACCTCTTCCGCTTCCTTTCGTATCTTCTGAAATAAAACTAAGAAACAATTTACCTGTCAACTGGCCAAATTTGAAGAGTCCATGCATTTCATACATCATTTGGCTGCAGTATCACACCTATTGTCTAGAGATGATCTCAATTCTATTATTTTCTGAATCAAAAGTGAAACCGGAGGTAATTTTTCTGGATACAACAGTCATTTTCTTTTCTAAAAATAGATGTGGGGACTGGCTTTGTCTTTTTAGTTACAGTTAAAAAAACAAAAACAAATAACTCTTTGTAATTATCAAATCTTAAACATTAAAACTGTGTATTAAATCCAACAAGATTTTAGTAAAAAAACCTTTTATGTACTTTTAGAAATGAGTAATGCAGAATGTCAAGAAAACTAAATTAAAAGATTCTTTTTTAAAATTAAAGAACTTAGGACATCATTTTGAATCCAAAGATTACATCAGACATTCAATTTCTGATCTCAGAAATGGGATACGGAGACAGTAACTCAGTAATTTGTATTCTGAAAATAACCACCTTATAAATTTTAAATATTTTAAAGGCAATCATGTATACACACACACTTAAATTCAATTTTACTAACTTTCCAAAACCAAGTATTTAACTGGAATATATTTTATAGTCAGTAAATGGTGGTGGTATTAAGAAACCAATTATAAATGGATTTCCTGTTTATTAATCCACCCCTTACACTTTTGGTTAGGTGAAGAATTACATGGGCATTACACTGCCCTCTGGTTCATAAATGCAGTGTAACTAGAAGAGATTAAAAGTTAAGAAATTGGCCGGGCGCGGTGACTCACGCCTATAATCCCAGCACTTTAGGAGGCCGAGACGGGCGGATCACGAGGTCAGGAGATCGAGACCATCCTGGCTAATACGGTGAAACCCCGTCTCCACTAAAAATACAAAAAATTAGCCGGGCGCGGTGGCGGGCGTCTGTAGTCCCAGCTACTCGGAGGCTGAGGCAGGAGAATGGCGTGAGCCCCGGAGGCGGAGCTTGCAGTGAGCCGAGATCGCGCCACTGCACTCCAGCCTGGGCGACAGAGCGAGACTCCATCTCAAAAAAAAAAAAAAAAGTTAAGAAATTGCAAACAGACACCCAAGAAGAGGTCAGTTTCAGTGCCCAAACTGACTTAATATTTTAAAATGCCTTGTCTTAATCAGCTTGGGCTGCCATAGCAAAATACCAGACTGAGTGGCTTAAACAACAGAAATTTATTTTCTAACAGTTCTGGGGGCTACAAGTACAAGATCAGGCTGCCAGTATAGTCAGGTTCTGGTGAGGACTCTCTTCCTGGCTTACACATGGCTGCCTTTTTGCTGTGTCTTTATGTGGCAAAAAGAGAGACACCAAGCTCTTTGGTGTCTCTCCTAAGGGCACTATCCTATCAGACTAGGGTCTCACCTTCATAAATTACCTCCCAGAGGCCCACCTCCAGATACCATCACATTGGGGGTTAGGGCTTCAACGTAAACATTTTTGAGGGAACACAATTAGTCTATAACATTCCATCCCTGGCCCCTCAAAACTCATGTCCTTTTCAAATGCAAAATACGTTCATTCCATCCCCATATCCCCCAAAGTCTTCACTCATTCTAGCATTAACTCCGATGGCTAAAGTCCAAAGTCTCATCTAAATCAGATATGGATGAGACCTACGTACAATCCATCCTGAAGCAAAATTCCTCTCCAGCTGTGAACCTGTGAAACCAGATGAGTTATGTGCTTCCAAAATCTAAGGGTAGGGCAGGTATAGAAGAGACATCCCCACTCCAATAGGAGAAACAGGAAAAAAAGGGTGATGATCCCAAGAAAGTCAAAACCTAGCAAGGCAAATTCCAATAGATCTAAGAGCTTGAGAATAATTCTGTTTGGTTCCATACTCTGCCATCCAGGCCACTGGGGTGGCAGGTCACTGCCACTGCTCTAGGTGAGGGTACTGCTTCTGTGGCTCTGAAGTTCAGTACTGCTCCCAAGGCTTTGGGTAGAGGCTATCTGACTTGTTGAAACTGAGGTGGTAGCCCTCAAGACCCTTAAATCACCTTTGGCATGATTTTCTCCTTTTCTAGAAGAATACTGCACATTTGTAGCTGAACAGTTCTATCATTACATCCTGTCAAATCGAAGAAGTTTGACTGTCGGCCTTCATTACTTCCTGTCTCCAACCACTTCAATTCAAACTGGCAGTGTTCCTACTCATATAATGCCAAAAGCTCTTTACTGAGTGACAGTCCAGCCCCACACCTTTGGTGTTCTCTTCAGAATATGCTTTCTCATGTTTTACAATGTGGATAATCCAGGCTGAAAATTTTCCAAATCTTCAAGTTCTGGTTCCTTTTCTTGCTTAACAATCCCTTCTTCAATTCATCTCTCTCCTTTCACATTTTACTAGAAACCGTCAGGAGAAGCCAACTGCTCCTTTCAACACTGCTTTGAACTCTCCTTACGTAGGTATCCAACTTCATGGCTCTAAAGTTCTACCTTCCACAAAACACTAGGCCACAGTTCAGCTAAGTTCTTTGATACTTTGTAACAAGGACTGCCTTTCCTCTGGGTTCGGGGACTTCAGACTTCATCAGAATCACCCTTAATGTCCATATTTCTAGCATGCACATCAAAACTCTTCCAGCCTTGGCTGGGCGTGATGGCTCAAGCCTGTAATCCCAGAACTTGGGAGGCCGAGGCGAGTGGATCACTTGAGGTCAGGAGTTTGGGACCAGCCTGGCCAACATGGCGAAACCCTGTCTCTACTAAAAATATGAAAATTAGCCAGGTGTGGTGGCGCATATCTGTAAACGCAGCTGTTCAGGAGGCTCAGGGAGGAGAATCACTAGAAGCCAGGAGGCGGAGGTTGCAGTGAGCTGAGATTGTGCCACTGCACCCCAGCCTGGGCGATGGAGCAAAGACTCCATTTCAAACAAAACAAAACAAAACAAAGAAACAAAAAAAATCTCTTTCAGCCTCTACCCATTACCAACAGTTACAAAGCCATTTCCACATCTTTAGGTATTTGGTACAAAGGCATCCCACTTCTTAGTAGCAAAATCTTAATCAGCACAGGCTGCCGTAACAAAATGCCATAGGCTGAGTAGCTTAAAGAACAGAAATTTATTTTCTCACAGTTCTGAAGGCTGGAAGTCCAAGATCAGGCTGCAAGTCCAAGATCAGGCTGCCAGTATGGTCAGGTTTTGGTGAGAGCTCTCTTCTTTGGCTTGCAGGTGGCCACCTTCTTGCTGTGTCCTTAGATGGCACAGAGAGGGAGAGATCAAGCTCTCTGGTACCTCCTCTCACAAGGGGACTAGTCCCATCATACCAGGGACCCACCTTCATGACCTAATTACCTCCCAAAGGCCCCATCTCCAAATACTATCACATTGGGGTTTAAGACTGTAATATATGAATTCTGGAGAGGCACAAATATTCACACCGTAACATGCCTAAACATATCTACCTGGACACTAACCTAAGAAAAGAAAGCTGCAATCTATAGAGACAGAGAAAGAAAAGTCAAACTTGAAAAGGCAAGTAAAAGGGGTTATCAAACAATTTTGTAAACAATCATGTTTGTTAAAAAAACTATTTTCTACTTTTCTTCTGTAACAAGTTGGTTTTTAAAAAATCAGTATTACTTCTACTATTGTTGCTATCACAAAATTAGAAATAAATTTTCTATTTGTCTTAAAGTCACTCAATTTTTATATAATACTTATGTGTATAAATTCTAAATTCTTCCTTTCCCCCCCACAGGAAAGTTCCATCTCCTTACACAGGTTTCAGCCAGGCTATCCTAAAAACTCAAAGCCCCTTATTTAAAGTGAAACACAAAATTGAAAAGTTCCTTATCTCAAAAAGGGTTTTTAAAAAAACTCTTTAATAAATTTCAACTATTGCTTTAGTATGTTTTACAGAGATTAATCCTGAAAGAATAATTATCAAAATAACCTGTCATCCAATGGTTTATTTTTAATCCATGGATTTTTTTGTAACACTAAAAGGAGAGCTCTCTTACTCTGTATACTTAAAAACAAAGCAAGTTACAAAGTATTTGGTAGGTTTTTACCTGTGTGCCAGATCCACAGAAACAAAGAAAAAAATATAAAGAGGTCTCATAAGAGGAGTAATTTCATAAGTATCCTGTGTTTGGAAAGTTGCAGTCTCTGTAGCTGTGTTTACAATTAATGAATATTCTCCTATACATAATGTCATCCATCCAAAGAAGAACAGTAGAGCAGAGCCTCCTGTACTGCCATACAGCAAGGTTATTCTATTTGGGAGCAGATACCATGTTCCAAGACCACACGCTAATCCAGCAAGAACAGAATGAAAAACTGTATTGACTACATATTTCTTGCCAGGAATGAGAAATTTGACAGTCTCAGCACCAGCACAACTTGTAAATTCATGTTCATCCTCCTCTGCTAAGATATCCGTGGCTAACATTCTTTCTACTGTTGCTGATTTGTTTCTGGCGTATAAACTTGTGAACTGGATGACAAATGCAGTAAAAAGCATTAATCCACCTGAAAGTGCTGCTGTGTAATAGTCTTTCAGGATGTCTAACTGGTACAAAAGTGTTCCGACTCCGCCCCAAACCCATGGCATTAGAAAAAGAATAATTTGATTAACATATATGTAAGGAGGGGCACAATAGCCTAATTTGAATCGAGGGCCTCCAAGGACAGTCTGTGGAAAGCGCTTCAGAAAGAAGTCCTGCTTGTAATCATTCAGTAGAGGCACATCTGGACTCATCCTCACTCGGGATTATTCTGAAAGTCACATGCTTTTCTGTAACACAGCAGTTTCTAAAAAATAAAAATTAAAAAAAAGTCACTGTTTGAAAATGTCATACTTAAAACCTGTGAGGAAAAACCTCACACTATTTTATCTCCTTACTTCCTTCAAGGGTAGGATTTATAACTGTACTTCTCAGACCCTTTCCTGACACATACTTGACAGTGTTTTATAGCAACTTAGTGTTAGTTTGTTTATAACATATTATAAACAAAATAAATATGCTCAGTTATTTTATTTTGTGAAAGAGGGTATCACTCTGTCACTCAAGCTGGAGAGTACTGTCGTGATCACAGCTCACTGCAGCCTTGACCTCCCAAGCTCAAGTGATTCTCCCACATTAGCCTCCTGAGTAGCTGGGACTATAGGCACATGCCCCTATGCCTGGCTAACTTTTTATTTTTTGTAGAGATGGGGTTTTGCCATGTTACCCACCAGGCTGGTCTTGAGTATCTGGGCTCAAGTGATCCTCCTGCCTCGCCTACCAAAGTGCTGGGATTACAGGCATGAGCCATTGTGCTCAGCCTTATTTCTTTTTTAAAAAAAATCATATTCTTTATTCATTTATAACCTAATATTTGGAATTAGACTTTAACTCACATATTTAAATTCTGAGGTCAATGGAAAGTCCAAAATGTCAATACTTTCAACTCAAATCAATTTAGGCTACTTTTATTCAATAGCCATAAAATCTAAGTATCAAATAACATAAGTTATCTTCAGTTCAACTTTTCCTTAATCTTTGCAGCTTATTCTGAAAAACAGTTACCCTACAGAAAACCAGCTAGCAAAGTATTACTTTGGTGGATCATGTTAGGCTAGAAAGGAAAAATTAAATTTAAAGCTATCTTAAAATAGCCTTTCTTTCAGTCAGTTTAAACATAATCTTTCCTCTAGTCAGTTCTACCTAACCAGTATCAATTCTGGAGAGAAATTTGGGGCAGCATGAAAAGTTTGGGGGGTCACCTTTAAGAATTAGTACCTTAGATCACCTCTTTGTTATACCACTATGGAGTTTTAAAAATTGTAAACATCTATCTTCTTACATCTTCCAGTCATTGGTCTTAGTTCTGCATAGAATGAATCACAGCTTTTAACTCACAGGACAGCCCTGCAAGTACAGCTGGCCCTCTGTGTCTGTGGGTTCTGCATCCATGGATTCAACCAACCACAGACAAAATAGGAAAATAACTGTATCTGTACTGAACATGTACAGATTTTTTTCCCATTATTATTCCCTAAATAATAAAGTACAGCTATTTATATAGCATTTATATAGTATTAGGTATTCTAAGTAATCTAGAAATGATTTAAAGTACAGGGAGGAAGTGCATAGGTTATATGCATATACGATACCATTTTATATCAGAGACTTGAACATCCTTGGATTCTGGTATCTGAGAGAGGTCCTGGAACCTATCCTTCACAGATACCAAGGGATGACTATACTCACAAAATAACAGAACTACAGGGCCAAATCGAACGTTAGTGGTCTACTGGTCAATCTTAGGGAATGGAAAGAGTGCCTCCTTCCCCTTTGTACGAGCTTGTCTCGTATGCTCGTGTACAATATTCCACTTTGTCTTATAGAAGCCAATGGGTAAGGAGGGTCACACTCCTGTGGGAGGGGATAAACATTCTGACGTAAGTTATCTATGGAAGACGCCATCAGACAGGAAAATGAACTTGGATGGATGGCCTGGATTTTGAAGAATGTAGATGTGCCTGAAATTTCCCCAAGGAGTTAGGTGAAAGTTGGCCCTTCTGGCTCTACTGAGATAACTCGGAAACAAGGTAGAGTGGCTTCCTGGGAAAGGAAAGATACTTTATAAACCCGATTATCTATCTGCATGTTAGTATTTCTGGGTCTTTTGTAAAGTTTTGTTTAAATGTTTTCATCCATTTGATGAAATAATCTGTGATCATATTCCAAACAGTGCAATATCTGAAGCGTTATTATTATGGAAACATGGAAAGATGCCCATGATATACTGAAAAGTAAAATAAACACACTACTGATACCATTTGTATCCAAAAAAGAGTACACACATCTATATATATAGATTGCTGTATATGGCTTGCATATATATAAAAAGTTTCAGAAGGAATATTAACTAAGCTGTGTGTCTTTTATATGTAACATTTAACATCTCTTCAAATTACCAAATGTCCTCCAGAACTCTCAACCTCACACCCTGTATATACGTTCTGTGTTTTTCTTCCTGGGTACCACTGAGCTCATACTCTCTCCTTTGCCTAGGATGATGTCCTCTCCTCCCTTCCCTAATTCGTAACGTTAAACAACTTTTAAGACATTTCTGAAAATTTTGCAGAGCAGTTTGGTGTAGCTGAGTATCTCTTCTCTCTGTATACCAAAACCACTGCTTGTTCTACATACTACAAGTTGGACATCACAAATCTGAATATCCAAAATCCTCCAAAAGTTGAAACTTTTTAAGTGCCAACATGATGCTCAAAGGAGATGCTTAACGGGGCATTTCTGATTTTTGGATTTGGGATGCATAATTGGTATAATGTAAACATTCCAAAATCTGGGGGAAAAAAAAAACCCAAATCCAAAACAGTTCTGGTCTCAAGGATTTTGGATAAAGGATACTCAACCTTGTAACATGTATGAGTATACGGCATTCTTGGAGTAACTTCTTGTATTGTTCACCTCTTTACATTTTATCTTTTCAGGTTTATTTATTTTCTCTACCAATATGTTATTGGGCATAGGGGCTGATACGGTTTGGCGGTTCCCCCACCCAAATCTCATCTTGACTTGTAGCTCCCATAATTCCCATGTGTTGTGGGAGGGACCTTGTGGGAGGTAACTGAATCATGGGAGTGGTTTCCTCCATACTGTTCTTATGGTAGTGAATAAGTCTCACAAGATGTGATGGTTTTATAAGGGGAAACCCCTTTCACTCAGTTCTTATTTTCTTTTTTTTTTTTTTTTTTTTTAGTAGAGACGGGGTTTCACTCAGCCAGGATGGTCTCGATCTCCTGACCTCTGTGATCCGCCCGTCTCCGCCTCCCAAAGTGCTGGGATTACAGGCTTGAGCCACCACGTCCGGCCTCAGTTCTTATTTTCTCTCTTGTCTGCTGCCACGTAAGACATGCCTTTCACCTTCCACCATGATCGTGAGGCCTTCTCAGCCATGAGAAATTGTGAGTACATTAAACCTCTTTTTCTTTATAAATAACCCAGTCTCGGGTATGTCTTTATCAGCAGTGTGAAAACGGATAAATACAGAGGCCACATCTTGAGATTCTTGATTCCCCATCTTTAGCAAAATACCTTTCCAGGGAGAAGCATGTAATACTTTAATGACACAGCCTAAATAAGACAATTAAAGTTGGAAAATATGTCATATTGCTGTCTTAAAGGGAAGCTGGGAGTATTTCCCATTTTCTTTCTTTCTTTTTTTTTTTTTTTTTGAGATGGAGTCTTGCTCTGTCACCCAGGCTGGAATGCAGTGGTGTGATCTCAGAACACTGCAACCTCTACCTCCCGGGTTCAAGCAATTCTCCTGCCTCAGCCTCCTGAGTAGCTTGGATTACAGGTGTGTGCCACTACACTTGGCTAATTTTTATATTTTTAGTAGAGATGGGATTTCACCGTGTTGGTCAGGCTGGTCTCGAACTCCTGACCTCATGATCTCCGCCTACTGGGATTACAGGCGTGAGCCACCGCGCCTGGCCGTATTTACCATTTTCAAAAACTTGCAGCATATCCTACTCTACTCAAAATAGTAAGCCTATAAACTGTTTATTCAGTTTTAAAATGTTTGGAAAGTATCTTATTTTTTATGGAGCAAATAATACTATCTATTCATAGTATTACTGGCTCAGGGAAGATTCTGGCTAGATCAATATAACACATAGCGACACAGGAGCAGGATGAGCCTGAGGGAGAAATATGGCTGGGTTTCTCCTGTGAAGGAAATGACTGGAGAATTTTAAGATGTCAGAAGTCCAATTTTAATTTGCTTCCTGTCCCATACTATGCTTTAACCTGCATCATCAGGAAAGGAAGAACTAGTTCATACTGAGAAAGAAGGGCAGACATAGAACAGTAGGCATAAGAGGCAAAATAAAGTGGGAGAAATCAAGAATTGCGTGAGACCAGACCAAGAAGTACAAAGAGAATGTATGTTCCCTCAAGAAGCCTAAGAAACATGGGAGAGGACACTGGTATGGTGATTTGAGTGAACGATTTTTAAAAGGCTGAAAGATACAGGATCATGTGTCCCACAGAATATATGCTGAAAAGGGGTCTGTAGTCAAAGCAGTTTGAAAAATTATACACTATACTGTCATCTTGAAGAGTCATAATGGATATTAGCAGATTAAAGATTTTGAGATCTTTGATATTAAAAAACACTTCTGCAAGTCTGCTTAAAATGTGTCATTTGAGTTTTCCAAATTCATTTGACCTTGGAACCCACTTTTTCCATGATATCTAATAACAGATCACATAACTGATGTTTTATCGAAACTACTTTAAGAAACACTGGCCTGGGATTCCACAGGATCTTAAAGATTGAGCCAAACCGAGAACTGAAAGGGTATGCCAGTTAAGGAGGAATGTCATGAACAGAGGTACACAAGCAAAAAACTATCAGGGAAATTTGACAGGTAGCAAGCATATCAGACCTAAAGACTGATTTAAAGTATGGGTGTTTCTATTTTCTTTTTAAGGATAAAAGAGGATTACATGATGGATACTAACAACTCATTAAGGAAGTATGAAGACAAAAATTATGATTCACTGGTACCCGTTGACATTTAATTTTAATTACAGATCCTGGAACATTTAAAAATATTGAAGAATTTGAAAATACTTTATTTATAGGGGACCACAGTTTCATTTATATAGAGAAATCTTCTAAATGCTAACCTGAATTACTAGCATAGAAAACAAATTCACAATAACTAAAATGTACTCCCCCAGTGAGAATTTGGCACATAGTTCTGAAAGACAAATAATTCCCAGAAGAACTGA